CAATTTTTATAAAATTCCTGTGTGTAATATTTCTGCGGACTACAATTTTTATAAACCACTTTTCCAATATCTTAATTATTGTCTCCTTGATTAAAATCCCCTTTTGTACACACAATTAATAAGACTAATTTAAAAAATTTGTAAACTTAGAAGATAAAAATTAATTAAGATATTACATTTAAGATCAAAATAAAAACTCTAACTAATTCTAAATTTTTGAGATTAGGCTCAAATATGGTTGCACCACCAAATAATTACATATTTTCACTCCACTTTTTATTTAAGAAGAATCATAATGAGGCTTCAAAAAAAAAATATTATCAATGAGTCCTGATAATAAATAAATAATTGTCATTTATTATATTGAAACTTGTTATTACATGCTGTTCTATTGTTATTGTGACATTTTTAGTAATCACATTTCTTGTTTGGAACTTCATATTAATTTTCCTTTTTATATACATGTGTTTTGTTGACATTTATTATATATTCGTTATCTTATAAATCACACATGTTACTGGTGATGGATCATATCCAAGTTTAACTCAAAGCAAATATGTTTTTTTTTTTCATAAATATATCGGAGAAACTAAAACTAAAATCAATTAAGACTGAAAGGTCAAACTCTGCATATTTATGATTGATAGGAGTGGTCCCAAATGAAAGACATTGTTGCTGAAAACAAGAAGCAGCATAAAATATGTAACTGCCACGCCTACAACAAAACAAAATATGTATCACTCTATAATTTATTCCTTCTTGGCACCCTTATTATTATTATTTACTTCTAGGTTCTGACAAATATATATAATATGTATTCCCTACCACACGCACACAAGTACAATTACAAGCCAACAAAATAATACTACCCACTCCATATATTTTAATCCATATATACTCTCATCAAAGCAGTCTCCATCGCTAGTTAAAAAAAGAGAGAGAGAGAAATTAGTTCTTGCCAACCGAAAAGAAAACGCCTCTGATTCAGAATATAAGAACTTATTAAAAAAGTGGTTTGAATTATAAGCATCTTAGTCTATTTTATATATTATTATTTTTTCAACCCGATTTATTGAGCATATAAATTGATATATAATATAATATTACAATATATTTTAGGAAACTTAGGTGATACTTGTTAAAATTAAATAATTTGTTTAATTTTCTTAATCTGTTCAAATTTATTAAATAGTGCTTATAACGAGTATAAAAGGAATTATGGCTCATTTGAAATGACTTATAAATAATTTTTCAATTATGATTTTACAGAACATGAAATAAATATATGAGAAAAATTTTAATTGTAATGGCAAATGGGTACCAATTCCCTTCAAAAAGGAATATCATATACATATAATAAGACTTTATCCAAATCTTTCTACTGATAAGTGAATTCTTTCGGTTAAGAAATATGTAAGTTAGCTAACAATTCGAGGTTCTCTGATTTATTCAGCATGAAAAATAAATAGAACGCAGGGAAAAAAGGACAACTTTTGTCCTGCAGTGGACCACGTCCTAGGATTGGACAACAAATCGGCATCGACGCGGGGCCCATATGGGTGGGCCCACATGCTTTGACGCCGGGGGGGCCCAATTCACTGTTCTTTAAGGTCCAAATGGTCCTCACACACACACAGGCACACATTTTTCTTCTTTATTTTTATTTATATATTAGCATCGGAAAACGTTCTAGAAGTGTGTGCCCCACACCTTTCGTATTTGTCGGTAGAAAATGATGAATATAATTGCTCCAAAATTGAAAATCAGTATTCATTAACCTTTAAGAGGGTATTATAGTCTAGCTTGTTATAATTATTTATTTGTATTTACTTATACCATTCTATTTCATGCACCTTCCAGTTCCACCCACCTCCTGCCTTTGAGTAAAATTATCCAACTAATATTTACTCAGCGTTAACTTTTATGGGTAATTATTATGACATGCTTGTTACATGAGAAATATAGAAATAGAAATTTTTTTAATGATTTTAATTTAAAAAATAAAAATGATGTTAAGAGTTTTCATTAATTTTCCTTACCGTTCTTCTTACATCCTCTTCTATTAAAGTTTTATAATCCCATTTATTTATTTATCAAGTTAAACTCATTAAAATGTTTTCTTTCACTTCCCATATCCACCAACTAAACAGAAAATTGGTGTCCCAGTGCATTGGATGGGCTGCAAAATTTAGATTTTTGTATGCATAGTTTGTTTTTATAATTGCTAACTTGACTTTCACAACTACAATAAATTATTTTTCCGCCAACTAATAATTTTTTTAGTTCCTTAAGTTTGTTGTATACGTATGCCATTTTTATGAAGAGATTGCTTGAACTTGACATTAAAGTTCGTGATTATATTCTTGTTCTCTTGTTGAGTTTTCGTTTTGTATTTGTATGAGTTTGCCTAATTTAAAGTAACAACAATCACTTATATTTAATATTCTTTTGCTGAATTTTCTCAATCCCAATTATAATTCTTACATTTCATTTATGATAGTTCATACTAAAGAGGATCTAAGGTATTCCCAAATTCTTTTTTAGATGTAGAGATCAAAATAGCAAGAGAAATAAATAAGTTTAAAAACAGCAGAAGATTACACTCCCTTCCTGGGCCCTTCTATGAACAATTTAAAATTGGCTTTTTAATATATCACTCAAATAAATTTGTATTAAGTTGAATATATATTTTTTTAAATGATTCATCTGAACATAAATCGTATCATAATAATTAGCTTTTACCTCAACATCAGTCATCAATTCTCATGTTCATCGAGGGATTTTTTCCCCAAAGAATTTGAGGAGGGAAACACAAGGAAAAGTGGAAAACCCTTTATATTTTATCCTTTCAAAAGAAAAAGGACCAGGCATAATGAATATGGTCCATACAAGAAAATCACAGCATCAAACTTTTTTTTTTCTTTTTTCTTTTCACCTTTTCTTTGATCTTTAAAATTAAAAAAGAGATAATGAAATTGCTTCAAAATATGAAGGCGGCAATAATGAAAATTCAAAATCCCACTCATTACATTACCACCCACATCATAATAATACTGCCCACCTCACAAAGTTAATTGGGTCTAAACTTTAATTATGGTATATTGATTTACACTAAACTCCACTTACCTCTTTTCCCTTATTTTTTTTTTCAATTATGCCAACATGGTTTGAATATTAAGCAATATTCATATTTTATTTCATTTTTATTGTTGAGTATCCCAGATGATCTCCCTCCCTTTCTAAGCTGTGTTAACTTTAGTTTTTTATGGTAGAAAAATACATTTTTGGCATATATAATCTCACCTGATGTCTACTTATGTTCATTTTTTAAATTTATTTTTTCCCCAATATTTTGGATTAATAGAATAGAATACAAACATTTCAAACTACTATCTCCGATCCTAATTATAAGATCTTGTTTGTAGTCTACAAACGAGATTTTATAAATAAAATCGGAAGTAGTATATGCTTGTATACATAGCATAGATATGTTGTTAATTGATGATTGATGATATGAAATTGAAGTTCTCATAATTCACACACCTATTAATTTCATGTTTAAGAAAACCCAAAAAATGTGTTTAGACTCTCATTAATCATTAAATTTCTATTAATTCGCCTATCACGAATAGTATTAATATGGTTGACTTACCATTTATCACTAAGGACCATATTTATATGTTTTAGTTCGTTGTTGATTAAAAAAATATATATAATATTTGCATCAATTTACACTAATTATAATACCAGGTCTTATCTCCATTATAAAAGTCGGTAATATAAGTCAAAAATCGTGACAAGGCCACATTAAAATTGCATATACACCCCACGCGTGCGTACAAATATAATACTTTTATTAAAATTATTGACAATTAAGTTATAAAAATAACAAGGTTTCCTTAAGTTTAACATTATACAGTTTATTTGATCGCAAAAAAATTGTACAATTTATTCCGTTACGATATACTTACAAGTCTGTATATTATGATTTTATTAAATAATGTATTTTTCATCAAAATTGGCGTCCTTGTCTCTATCCTCTCTCTTTCGTTCAAGTGAAAAAAACGAATGAGGGTCAAAAGGTATTATCTTGTATAGGCATGACTTTTTTTTTAATTTAAAAAAAGGCATTTCTTCCAAATCATCATCATCAATATAAAATATGAAAAAAAATCACAATATTTTTCCTTATAAAAATCATATTAATTATTCACACATGGTAAGTTATAATATTTATTTTAAATTTGGTATGGATACGCATGATGTATTTTAGCTCATATACTGTACAATGTAATCCAAAAAAATGAATTAATATATCTTAGATTTTAAATTTTATTCCTTCTAGTTGGCAAAAAAGTTATTCCTTTTAATTTAATACTTTTATTTTATTTATAAAAATAAAATAAATTATAGGAATAAAATAACTTCTCAAGTATATCATCATTACAGCTCTCAGCCATGTATTCACCTCAAATTTCATGTAATATGCATGAAAATATATCTAATTATTCAACCGGAGGGCTATTCACCAATTATTATTAATATATAAATATAAATATATTGACATTCATTTTTGACACGGATATGTAATATGTACAATAATATTGTTCGGATCCCTGACATACCAAAAGATTGTTGAAGTAGTAGACATTCTGGTATTTTAGAATCATAAAATGGTGTAATTTTACATTTTTAATGACTTTTTAAAATTAAAACTATATTTTAAAAAAATTCAGAACCATCAAATTTTCCTGCCTATTCTTTGAAATGGGTTGGGTACAATTCCCCCACTAATAGCAGGGACGATGTTTTGTGGTGGGGGAGACTGGTGACTTCTCCGATGGTGGAGCACGTATGAATGAAATGAAAGGAAATTGCAAAAACGTCAAAAACAGAAAATGGTGACACCTCAAACTTTTTCGTATGCGCATGATGGGCCCACCAATCCATCGTTCCCCAACTGTCACGTATTCTTCTTCTTCTACTGTCTGTCACCCACAACGACATTCTAATGCCTCCCTCTTTCTCACCATCGCCAATTCTCTCTCTATCTTTCTCGTCATGTATACTCCTTCTCTTCTTTTTGCTTTGGTTTTATGAGTCTTCAATGGCTACCCGTATCAAAATCTTGCGTAAAGAAATCAGGGGTCGGTGCTAGATGAGCATTTCCATCTCTTTTTGGCTGTCAAAAGATACCCAAAAGCTAAAGTCTTAGTCTTTTTCTTTTAGGGGATAAACTTACTTGTATGGTACTGAATTTGCTGTTCTGGAAGAATGTGTTGTCATGAGGGTACTTCTCAAGGCATATTTCAACCCGGGTTTTTAAGTTTCAAGCGGGAGAGAGCTAATGTCAAGGATTAAAATGATGTTTTTTGGCCGTATGTGTTGGAATTTCTGAGGATGATGCAATAGTTGGAGTTTTCCGCTGCTCTATCCCCTGTTTGTTCAGTAGTTGAAGAAGTTGAATGCCCCATTCATCGGTCATCGAGAAGGTTGCACAGAAGAAAATCTGCTTTGGATTGCCGATTGTGGGAATCGTATATGATAGGAGCTTTCGATGTAATTATCGAACCTTGTTTTGGTTGGTTGATCAGAATTCTTGAGTGCTAATCATTTTTATGAACAAATTAAGCTTTGAAGACGATGTTGTGATCTTGCCCGGGCTTATCTTCAGATGGAATAGGGTTGATTGCTGACAGTTTCAATTCCAAAGGAAGCTACAACAAGGTGATTTCTTAGCAGATTCATCAGCATACGTCTTTTACTTCTTTACCATGTTGACTGTTGAGTCAAAGGTTCCCATTTCATATTTCTATTTTTCAACTTTCATATGATTTTTCCGTTCTCATCAAATCTAATGCCTAAAATTGGTAATCAGTTTCTACTTCTAGTTCCAGCTACAACCATTTTGTGTGCAAATCCATATCTTTGTTCCCCGTCAGCCGGGTGATCGAGTTTGAAAATTATCATAATGTTTCTGAGCAATCAATTGATGAATTTAAAAAACATGTTTATGCACCGAACTTACCTTGTCTGCGTCCATACGAGTGTCTTCTTCTTCTTCTTCCTCCCCTTCACGGACAATATGGCAGTTTTCCACAGTCCTATAGTTTTAGGGCGTTAGACAGATCAGTCATGTGTATTTACTTCATGATTTTGTCAATCAAACAGGTTTTGCAAGAGCAGGGTCCAAGTGATAAAGAAGAAAGTTGTGTTCGAGACCAAAATGGGAAAGAGGTCTCAAAAACGTCCTAAGAGGAATAAGAGGGATCATTCGGGATGCATGTGGGGCTTGATTAGTATATTTGATTTCCGCCATGGTCGCCCGGCTCAGAAGTTGATTACGGATGCTCGGTACAGCAGCAAGCATGCTGTTGGCGAGAAAAGTGAGAACTGTACTTAATTTATGTGTTTGTGTTCCAAAACGGACAGATATTCTAAATTACCTGAGAATTATTCCGCCAAGAATATATTATATATAGCAAGCAAGACTTGTATATATAAGATGGTGGATAATTTGGGCTGGATAAACGATTTGACAGACCTTGTCTTATATTTCACAAGTTTTCTAGAGTCACATTCGCCTTTAGAAGCAATTTTGTTTCTAGTCTCTGTATTCCAATTTATTTTAAGTGAACTGCTTCGTGGAGAATACTCTTTAAAATTGAAGCATGGTTGGTGAATAATTTTTGGTACATCCTCTTTAAACTCATGAAAAGGAGTTGAAATAATTGTTGAACCTCATTATTTCCTTACTACACAGGTATTGTGCATTCGAAGAATAAGTTTGAGATGTTAAGCAATTTGGATGAAGATTGTGAGAGCGACTTTGTAAGTCTTTACATCCATATTCTTATGCAAACCTGAAACTCACAGAAAATTGAAAATTTTCTAGGAAATTAATAAAATATTAAGTAATTTGGTTACAGGATGTCTATATATTCATTGACATTACGAATCATGAATCTGTCAGGATGGTAGAGAGAGCAAGAGAACAACGGTTACAACTGATGCTGTTAAGCCTTGCGTGAAGAAACTCATAGAAGAAGAGATGTTGATTAACCAGGATATGAAGAAGAATATACGTAGTGTTGAAGCAGAATCAAAAGAATCCAGATTAAGGCTTCCAAGTCCCCTGAAGACAGATTCCAAGAGAAAAAAGAAATCTCGCAAGAAAAGCCATGATATGGATGCAGAGAGTTTGAAGTCTGATGCAGCTTTTGAATCAGAGCTCTCACATAATCAGCATTCAAGGCATCAGTCCAAAAGTAGTCTTGATTTGGACAATATAATGGATGGTTTTTCTCGTTTTAAAGATGCTTGTTCTGTGATGGGTGACCATGATGGCGAAGTTCTTGCTCAACCGAATGAGAATGTTACGGCCGAAAACAATGCCAAAGACGCAATCTATGATTTTGTTAACCGGATCATATATGATGAAAAAAATCTGCCAGAAGATGAAAAACTCGTTTGCTCACAGGAACTCATGCAAGTACTTCAGGTTATAAGTTCAGATAAGGAATTATTTCTTAGGCTTTTACAAGATCCAAACTCACTTTTAAGGAAACATGTTCAAGAGCTGGGGAATGCTCAGGGGACAGATTTCAAAGAATACAACCCATTTACTGGCTTCAACATGTCCAAACAAGAACCTAGCAATCAGAGACAAACCACAGAGATTGTCAACAACAAGCAGCGTAACGTTTTTTGGAAAAAGGTAATGCCTCAAGAAAAAAGCCCAGCAAAAGGAAATGACAACACTGGGTCTTCCAAGAGAATTGTTATCTTCAAACCCAGTCACATGGACCTGCCATATTCAGAAACTGACAACAGTCTTGCCTCATCCTTAGATTCTCATGATATAAACGATCCCAAAGGTCACCATGTTAGAGTTAGTTCACATTTTTCTCTCGCAGAGATAAAAAGGAAATTGAAACATGCTATGGGAAAGGAGAGGCATGGATACCCTAGAGGGATCTCCCAAAAACACTCTATTGAGTGTCAAAATATGGAACAAGGCAGCAAAGTCTTTGGAAAAGACAACAATGGAATGAAATCTCCCAATAAGGACCATTTCTTCATTGAGAAAATAGCAAGACCCACATCTGATGCTAAGAAAGGAGACAAGGCTGGTAAGTTGAGAGACACTGAGGTGACCACGGAACTGAAAAATGACAGGTGTCTCAAGCAAAAGGATTCCAACTTGTACACTGAGGCCAAGAAACATCTGCATGAGATTCTGGGTAACGGAGATGAAAACATGGATTTTTCAAGTCGGCAGATCCCAGAAACCCTGGGGAGAATTCTAGCTCTTCCTGAGTACAACCTTTCTCCCATTGGAAGCCCTGGAAGGGAGCATGAACATCGCTTTGTGACTGCACAGACAAGATTTTCTACTACGGAAAACATTCAGGAGGCTAATGAGGATCTTCATGCCGTTGCTCTTGGTCATCCAGATCAAGCAACAAACAATCCAGAGAAGCCGTCGTGCATTATGAATCTAAATCCCCCAGCTATTCTTACTCATGATGATAAAGTGGAAGGAACCTGTTGTCATCCTGTTAGGAATGAGATAGTTCCTGAAGGTATGGTGTTCAAAGTACATATATTTAAGTGATAGATGGATGCTATGAAAAACTTCACTTTGCGCCTATTTTTAAAATGTTATATTATTTGTTCCTTCACAAAGTTAGGGCAGATATTGTTGGATCTACTAGGGAGGTTAATAATTTGGATTTTCCCTGTAAATCTGTAGATTTAATAACAAGAAAGGACCAAAAATGTGACTCTGAGATTTCTCATGGCTCAAGACCTTCTCTATGTTTGAATCAGGTAACGTCTTAACGTTTCTTTGCATAAAACTTACGTATATAAATATATATATATATATATATTCCTGCTATGCTAGTTACAAGAATTTGTGCTGAATCAAAATTTCATTTGAATCAAGGTTAATTTTATGCTCGTTCCAGAAGTGTAGTAAGGATAAGTGATGATAGGCTTCCTAGCAAGGGGGAAAAAAAATTCATGTCTTTTTCTTTGGCGGAACAATTCCATCACAGCAAGATGCCATTTTGACTGTCTCACTATCTTTTATTCAACTCTATAGGAAATCTCAGAAGAAAATCAACAGCTATTTTCTTCTCCATCATCATCTCCTTCTCACTCTTCAATCACAAGGAAAGTTGCAGGGATGGAAAGTGGTTCAGATGAATCTGAGCGACCGAGCCCTGTGTCCGTTCTTGAGACACCATTTGATATCAGCCCTGGGAATACCATATCTGAACCTGGTATGCGTTCACGCAAGAGCCACAAGGATAATATTAGAACACTTCTTTAAACAAGTTAGCAAAAACACAAAAAGCACTATTTTTCAATCTGTAAAACTGTGGCAATATGTTATTTCTAATTGTCTCATTGACTTCCATCTTAATACGAGATAGAAAATAGCAAGCTGGTTTCCAAGTGAAAACTCTATATCATATTTCATTTCATAATACTTCTAAGTATATTTTAGAAAATTGTTTGGTTGCATGAAGTCTTTTTTCCCCTGCAGGCAAACAAAACTTACAATTGCTTTAAGAAAATGGCCAATCAGCCCGTAAACTTCTCCGTTGCATATCTTCATTGTTATATTAAAATTAACCTAACGTTAGATTCACTATTGATTTTCAGATAAAGTACCAGTGCAGCCCTTACATATTCAGTTTGAAGATCATAACTCTTCACCTTTGGATCAAATTGAAGGAGGAAAACTTTGTACTGAAGAAAGCAAGTTGGTATTTGACTACGTTGAAGCAGTTCTGCACTCCTCTGGCTTAAATATAGATCAACTGAGAATCAAGGACCTTTCCTCAAACCAAATACTGGATCAATCCTTGTTTGATGAGGCAGGGTTTTTCCCTAAACACATTTGTCATGATCAGAAACTCCTATTTGATTGCATCAATGAAGTGCTTGTGGATGTTTGTCGGCATTACTTTGGGATACTCCCTTGGGCGTCATTCCTGAAACCTAGCATGAGGCCAAAACCAGATATGAAGAAGGTTGTTCTTATGGTCTGGCAAAGAGTGTGCTGGCATCTCCTTCCCTTTCCTCGGCCACATACTTTGGATCAGATCGTTCAAAAAGACGTGGCAAGAAGTGAAACATGGATGGACCTTCGGGGTGATGCTGCAACAGTTATTATTGAGATGGGTGATGCTATTTTTGCAGAACTGATGGAAGACACTGTATTCAGTTGTGTAAGTGAAAGCCTAGAAAGTGAATCCTCTCAACTTCAATCTAAATTGCAGGAAGATTAAATCCGCATCAACATGTAGAGGATAATCGATCACCACTTGTTCATCCCAACAGATAAATTCCCTGGTGAAGGTAAAGGAACGTAGGGAAGTTATACATTATGCTTCAAGGGAAAGAATTTGATAAGACTGCTAGAGAATTTTGGAGATTCCTAAGCAGTGTTTCTCTTGGCCATGTCTGACTTCTCTGATTAGTGGTTAGAATAGTGCGAAGGTGGATATTCAAATAAGCAAACAGAATTTTAGTTGGGAATGCTTGAAAAAAATACAGAATAACACTTTTATACTTCTGTCCATTGTGCTTCACTTAATCTAGCGTGAGTCGAATTGCTGGTGAAATTGTAGATTTTGTAGAGTTTCATATGTTGATAACATGATTTTGCATTTCTTAAAATTGGTGGGAATCCTCTTTGTTTTTGGCCCTATTTTCCCAACGCTTTAACAAGGTCGGAAATAATAAATAGCGAGTCCAATTTAGCTCGGGTTCTTGTTTTTAGACCAAAAGTTGAAGAGAAAAATCACAAAATGCCAATAATACCCAAACAACCTGAATGACTTGAAGACTTGCTTGAAACGAAGATTGGAGTTTTTAAAAGCAACTTTTTAATTGTAATTTACAAAATACGAGATAAATATATAACAAAAATTCTAATATTCATTTATATAAAACTCTTTATAAACACTTAAAACCCATTTAAAATGGCTTACAAATAATTTTTTTATTGTAATTCACAAAATACAAAATAAGTATGTAATTTACAAGTCACGTGCTTATAATCATGACACATGCTTATACACACTCACATCACTTACGCGGACGAATTTATCCAATGCGGGGCTCAAGGCTGCCACAAGGGATTAACTTGGCTTAGTTTCGAAGAAAAGAAATATGTACATACATATATTTAAATTAAGGAATTTGCAACATAAACGAACATAATGTATTGCTCATCAGTTAAATGGACGCAAAACTGCAATTAGATATTAATCTCATGAAGCATATAACCTAAATTACATGAAATATCATTACCTTACCCAAAAAATTACAGTAAATGCCTATACAGTTTCTAAATGCAAGGCGTTCAGTGGAAGCCATCAAGCCGAATGTAGTTAACAAGTTATATAGCCATCAAAGGTAGCAAGGAACAACTATGAAATGTTTCGTTATTTCCTCTTCTTATTTCCCAGAATCATTGAGGGCAAAGGACGTGGTGCTGCCTTTTTCATAAATGAACTACTTCTGCTATCTTCGTCCGCGTTGTCGTCTTCATCTTCAACATCTCTTTGAGATGATCTAGAATCCTCAGCAGCTTTTCTTTTTCTGGCATCCAACTTAGCATATAACTTCCGTTCAACAGGGTCATCTGAGGGCACCACTTTGGATTGGCGGACAACTTTTGCACCAAGGCCAAGCCTATACAGATTGCAACAACAGTTATAATGGTGAAAGAACGTTTATAATACAAACTTGCAAAAGTTGACATGGTGAACAATTTAAAGATGGAACTCATACTGAGCACAGACCTAGGAGGCCGACCCTCTTTGCCGGCATCTGTTGGTTCATCATCTTCAACTTTGCTCATGTTATTTACCCATACCTCGGCCTGCCAATTAGAATGATTAACAATTAATCACCAGCATTACCCAGCAAATTACAATATTTCACACAACATCTGACCATAATCAAACCCTCTGAACCTCAAATCTCAACCTTCACAAAAAGGAACTTAGGAAGCAAAAATGTTTGACCGCAGTTTGTGACATTATTAAAATGTTAGATATTTGAAATGTATTTTTGCTTGATTTCTTTTTCCCACAAGTCATAAGAATCCAAATATCATATACCAACAATGTCATTACCAATTCCATGCTTATCATTCAGCAAAACTCCTGGAAACCATTGCGAATCTTAAGCCCGTAATATCAAAAGCTTCAAGGTTTTGCAATGACTGTCAAAACAACTGTAGTGTACACTAGCAAGCAATATAAGTCCATTTTCAAGGCTAATATGTTACAGTTACAATTATGATGCTGAACCGCTACCTATACATAGTGAAATTTTAAATACATAAACATATGATCGATTGAACATGCCATCTCATTATTAACTTTTAAGGGTCAGAAATGCGCGATTCTACTCATGCCTAAATTATAGCTTCAATGAACATGCAATATAGATATGGAAAACATATCAATCAACAAGCATACAACACAAATATATAACAAATCATTATAGTTCATAAGGATGTTACGGTGAAATTTAAAAATGAAAAAAAAGCATTTACCAGTTTCAATGCCTTGTCCAACTTAACAATTCGGGGAAGAGAAGAACCCTTCTTCGAAGGCTCTGCAACACTCATCTCAGCTTCTTGGGGTCGTAACCAACAAAAGCATTTATTAACCGACCTGGAAAGGAAAACCAATTGCATATGAAATAGAGAAATCGAGAGGGAGCAATCAATCTTTAATTTAAAAAAAATAAAGTTCCAAGTTTCAACAGAACTTGAGACCAGGAAGCTCAATAGAGAAATCGTGAGAGGAGATCCGAAACGGAATCTGGAAGACTAGAATTAAACAACAAAAAAAAAGAAAGAGGGGCAGCAAGAAAAAACAGGAGAAGAAGAAAAGCAAGGCAATGGGGAAATATATAACAGAACCTGGGTGGTCGACGGCGGCTAACGGAGCTCCGCTGGCGTCTACTACTCCCGATGCGACGACGAAGATAAAAGCAGGTCTTCGAGGATATATGTTATGGTGAACTGACCGAACGAGAAACGACGTCATTTTGATCCTGTTTTGCCAAATAAATTAAAAAATAGGAAAAATCCCAATAATTAAAGCCTTTAACAAATTCTTAATGACGACATGAGGTCTAATTAGAAATTTTTTAATATTATTAAATTATTAGAATTTTTTTAATTAAAAATAAAAATTGATTATTTGATCCCTCTCAAGTGGTTTATTATCTCTTATTATTAATATTTAGATGAAAAATATGTAAATAACTTTTTGGTGTTTGAAATTTAATTCAAATTCAGGCCTACATTTTTAATAAATTCTTAATCAGGATTTGAGGCCTAATTAAAATTAATATTGTTGAATAATCAGAATACGGTTCTTCAATTAAAATTAAAAATTGACTATTTTGTTCATCCCTCCTAAATAGTTCATCATCTCTATTATTAATATTTAGATAAAAATATATAAATAATTTTTCAGTATTTGAAATTATGTATCTATAACTAACCCTTTAAAATATTTTAACAAACCATTTTTAGTATAATATATAGTTTTTAAAGAATTTTTTTTAGGTTGTATATATTTATCCTTAGATTTTAAAATATTTTAATTACATTTTCGGTTGGATCCAACATTAATCAAATAGATAAAACTAATATAAATTATAAGAACTGAAAACAAACAAATATTTATTTAAAGGCTATTTATATCTGTAATTTAAAATGTTTTATTAAAATGTTTTTAATTGTTTTAGTGTGTGTATAGAAATTTGAAATACTATAAAATTACTCATATGTTTTGTTGTTGATGAATAATCATAATAAATAAAAGGTCATTTGAAAGGGATAAAATAATCAATCTTTTTAATTAAAAAAATTCTCATTATTTAATAATATTAACAAATTCCTAATTAAAAATTTATTAAGAATGTAAGCCTAATTTGGATTTAGGTATTTTGGTTGGAGTTAATTGAGATTCTTCTTTAAAAAAACAAAGAAGGGAAGAACTGGAGAGGGAGGAGGGGGGAAACCGAAAAAGTACCCGGGAAAGAGAGGCGAGTGTCGCGACCTGTTAGCAATCGTCAAGGATTGATGAGGGAGATGCGAGAGTGCGCGTGAGTGGTAATTCAAGAAAGAGAAAAGCTTCAGAAAGAACGAAATTAGGGATTTAGAGCTTATTTCTAAAAATAAAATAATATATCTAAATATTTAAAAATGAATTAAAAAATAAATATCTTGCAGGTCCGTCCTGCATCACGTCCTAAATTATTTTTGTCCCGTCTCATTTTAAATGTGATTTGAATCGAGACGGGATGTGTTAAACACCTCTAATTTGTTGAGCTGGTTATAGTTTTATAAAATATTATATCATTTAATTATGACAAAATAACTCTCAAATATTTAGTTTATGTAAATAAATTTCAGTATACTTTTCAAAGACTTCTCATTTAAAAGAAAGTTTCTAAAAAGAGACTTGCCCTGATAAATTTTTTTTTTCCAAATTCAAGGGATTTAGAAAAATATTTGTTTGATTTTAAGAACTTTTCTTGCGCAATATTCTTATTAGGACCAACGCTTATAAATAGCAGCTGATAAGCTGTTCGATGAGAACTTTTGGGAAAGATACTTTCACAAAAGTTAAATACTAAATTGAACAAGTAATGTCTTGATTTTCAAAATTTGATCGCAAAATTTTAACTTCTTATATCTTTAGACATCTTTGTTTTATTATTATCAAATAATTTATTATTATTCTTATTGATCAAATTACCGTATTATTTCTTCAATTAATCATAACTATCCAACAATTTGCTGCACAATTTTTTTTTAAAGAAAAAGGGTCAACTACAAGAAAATTCTTTATCATTAACAGATCAAATCGAATTATTAAAATAACAACAAACTACAATTGCACAATAAGAAATTCCAGCTGTACCTAGCCTTATAAACTTCCATATCATTCAATACGTGCTATTCACTGCCAAGCAAGTTTCAAGATTAATATTTTAACAAAGAGAAAAATTGCAAGGACATCATTGTGCCATATTCATCAAGGGCTAGAATGTCCTGAAGTGCAGTTTATCCAAAGCACAGAATAAGATAGTGAAGAGTAGATCCCATTTTCGTGTCCATCTTTAACTACACAATCCGGGTAAAGTTCATCTATTTATTTACAAATTCACTCATCATTCACAATTCTTTTGGGCCATGCATGTGTTTAACTGCTTATTGTGGTCAGTTCCTATCTATTTGCCACCTGCAAATACTCCACGTGTTGATAAGGGACTTCAGCAAGTAAGAACATGCTCTGATGATTTGATTGACATTGCATAACAATTCTGTTGATAGAATACTTCTATACATGAAACAAATCCTTGCATGTGGCAATACTGTGGAAGATTCTAGATCACTTATTCACCTTATCTTAGCAGTGGATAACTTGGTAGTCTTGTATATCCATCACCAGACCACGAACTCAACTGTTAATAGGAGAGTAAAATTCATATAAACAGCCATCCGTAAACACACGAGATATTAGAAGTACAGCTGATGTTGAGGACATAGAACCAATCTTACTCGGCAGACTTCATCAGTCTTTTGATTTCTCTAACAGCCGAACTTACAGCATAAAGTGTCATCTTTTTAACCTGGAAACGAAGAAAAATGGGTAGGATGCAATGCAATTTCAAAGGCGCAAGATATTTTAGTAGGTGACTTCTTTTCACAGCGCAAGAGCTATAATAATACAAGCATTTTCGGTGAAAAAGCGGCAATATGAGAACATGCAAAACCAGACCACTTAAAAGCAAAGCTAAGAGATGAGACAGCGAATAAACAAGCAGACCTCCAATTTATCCTCCTTGGCTGTGTGTTTCTTTGGGAGCAAACGAAACTCCTCAGTTAGTCGTAAACATTCTTCAACATTTTCCGGGGAAACAAAATCAAGTGCCACTTTTATACAAGACTGGTTGATGAAAAAGAATGATGTTAAAAGCAGTGTAATTATGAGAAAATAACATTCAAATGCACAACGGATGAAAAAAAAATAATGCTATCATTTATTTTAGTAGAAGTTGCTCTTGTTTGCAATTCACTTCAACAGAAGCAAATTATTCATTTTGCCCACGAAGATATTCCTGCTGTTAGTTTTCCCCTAGATTTTGTGTTGAGGTATTTGATCACAAAAAGGATAGGAATCTCTCTTTTTTCCGGCTTTCTAATCTGATTCATGAAGAAATAAAAAAAATCAAAATACTTTGTCGCTCCACGTTAGTGAATACCAATTTTCTCTTGATTATTTTTTCCAATACTTCATTAAACTACAGTAACTATTGTATTTTTATAATTAATTAAATAAAAGAAATCACCGAAAGTTATTTAACTTCCCACCCTCTGACATGCATCTTAGCTTCTCTTAGTGACATTATATGCTTGCTTATGGTGTTGAGACCAACGATCAGAGGGTCCCAAAGCAGGTAGACCGAGAAATCAATTTTTACCCTCAAATGTGTAAGAGTGTGTATTATACTAGCACGAAATCCAAATATACGGCTTGTCACTAGAAGATCAATTACTTGTCTATTTCTCACTTGGTGGGGACATCCAGCGGGAATGAAAACGGCCTCACCAAGATGTTGCTCGAAAGTCCAGGGTTCAACACCTACATTGAGCACAGAGCATGGGACAATAACTATGATGCGGTAATGCTTTCCAATTTTCTGATTTTTCAACCGGGCAAATCAAATGGCCATCATACCAAACTCTTGTTTCAATTGTTTCTTATGCTTCTCATTAAAGAAAAATGTCTGATCATGAATGGGATGTATAACCTGAAACCAGCATCATAAAAGGATTTAGCTCTTCATATATGGTTAATAAAGTGAATACAGAGAGGCAATACTACTCACAGAACTTAAAGAATGATTGCTGATATGACGGAATTCCTTTTTATGCTTCCTCAAATACTCCATTACTTTTGGTACATCTTGACGACGGAAGATATCCCAAACAGCACCACCATAGACGACTGCAGCTTTATGATTAGTTTCTACAGAATCTTTCACCAGACCTTGTTTTGATTTTTGGGACTCTGGATCATCAGACAAAATGCCAAGAAAATCAGTCTTCGTTCTGTCATTAACATTGCTCTTACAATTAGAGGTTAAATTACACGCAGATTGAGTATGTTCATGTTTCCGTCCGAAAGTCTTGGTATGATCTGAAACTTCAGCAGATATTATATTAACATCATCTTCTCCAGAGAAACTTCTTTCGGCAACATTTCTGCAGGAGGCGGAGCAGTTTCTGCTCTCAACACATTGTTCTGTGTCTGTTGTTTCTAACTTCGCGGTTGAGCCATCTGATGCTGATGAAATGTTTATCTTCACAGTAAAGTCTTCCGATGCCGATGAACTTTCTAACTTCATAGTTGACTCTTTCACTGCTGATGAAATTTCTGGCTTCACAGTTGAGCCTTCCGATGCTGATGAAATATGTTCATCTACTTGGCGACCAGAAGAAAAACTGTTAACTCCATCTTCAGGCTTCCCATCATTTGCTTTGGGTTCTTCATCAATATCACTGCGTGCTTCACAGGATAGTTCCTGCATGTCTTCTTTTGCATATTTCTCCCGCAATTCTTTTATGCTTTCTTGTTGCCAAGCACCTATATTTACCTTGGTTGTGTGGGTCAGTATATTAACCTAAACCTCCATCACAAAATTATAATGCGATATCAGCTACAATTGTATACAGATGACCGCAGCTAGCTGAATGAGATAAGAACTCTGAATACAGACGGGCTCTTTAATAGATGTTATGTTTCTATGACGCGGAAGATTCGGGAAGTTACGATAACTAAACAGTCTTCAAATTGGTCAACTAGTAGATGAAGGTAGAAGTAGTGGACGCTTTGAGGCGCGCACGCGGTCGCACAGACAGAGAATGAGTGTGTGGGTGCTATGTTTCATCCATTTTAGTACAAGTATTAGAATAAGGCCTTCAAGGCCCCCATGGTTGCATGGCTAAAAAACAAACCTTGAAATCCAACATATGTCAATACCACCAATCAATAACCCAGTTATCCTTCTAAATAAAGAATTTAGGCTCCATCAATTAATTTACCATTAAAACACTACAACCAGTAAATTCAGCTTCCAACTTTCATTCAATTATTATTTGCCCCAGCGTAAAGTTTAGAAGATGCTCAACCCTATAAATTTTTCTTCACCCAAAGGAATTTCTTTAATTTCATTGACATTTCCGTCATCCGATGACAACATAATTCAGAAATTAATCTCAGGCTCATGTAAAAGCTAATCCATAAAACTTATAAAACCTATGCAATTAATATTTGAGGAATCCAAATGAAACCCTGATTATGTTGGCAACAAGCACATAAGAGACCGACAATTTCCAACCGAGGTGCTCAGTCAAAATACCAGCAAATAGAGTTATCAATGATTGGCAGAGGACAACTGACACGTGCAGACTTAATAGACAAGCAACACAACAATACATCCACTCTTGAATCTTTAAATACGTAAAAAGCATAAAGGAAAGGAAAAGAAACTATACAACATAGACACCTTGGCTTCCCTCTAGAAATTAAGATGTGCAGAGATTACCGCATCAGACACATCACAGTGGAGTTTTGTCACCGAATCACCTCTACCAAGCTCGTCAAGAAACCCATAAGCAATATACGTTTTGGGTCCCAAATCTGGTTTTAGTGAGCCATCAGGAAGTTTACTGGCAAGATTCAAGAGGCCTGATTTTGGGTCAGTGTAGTCCCTGTAGGGCAGAGCTCTGAGAAACTCAGCACCATGCCTGGGCAAACGCTCTTCAAACCAGGTTGATGAAGGCCAATCTTTCAATTTCAGAATTTCTGGCCATCTATCCTTATGCATTCGACCCTCTAGGTAGCCTACAAAAAATTGGTGAATATTGATTTCCACCTGCGTAACAGTGAGATGTTGATAAATCAAATTGTCAATATATAATAAGATTATTCAGATTGATTTTCATCCGTTGGCATACCTCACACCAATCAAAGCAATCGATGGCCTTTACACTTCGTGTTTCCTCTTTATACTTCATTCTAGAACCTGTTTCTCTGAAAGCCCTCCACATAACCATTGGTTCCCAACTAAGGCCAGATGTCCTGTCCAGAACATTTCTCACAATCACAGGTTCTCCCCTTAACCAGTGCCTCTGGAAATGCTCAACTTCGTCATCAGACGTGTCAAGGGCATTCGGGCTGTATAAGAAATTATCTTGAGCATCATCCCTTGATGCTGCCTGCCTGACCTCATAATTGGATTTCCCTTCAACCAAATTTGGCCAGCATAAAGAGCATTTCGCAGAAACATCAACGTCCATGTGTCTGTAGGCTCTTGTGAGGTCCTCTGCATTCTTTAACAGCTTCACCACCCAATCAGCTTTGAAAGTGCGTCTCAGTTCTAGCAACGCAGTGCCACAACCTCCATGCTGTTTTGGAGGACATGGAATGTTACCATCACTATTAGCTCGCCATTCAGGAGATGGAGAAGTTCCATCAGTTTGGACATCAAACACATTAGGTAAGAGTTGGCTTTCCCAACCATATCCTTCCGTACGAGTCTTGCTACTTATCGAATCTTGGTTTCCATCTTTCTCTGCAAACTGTTCACGCAATGTTTCAGCTTCTACGCCTCCAGGTTGGCAACCATTTCTAAGCTCTTGACAGCAGGCAAGACATAGGTCGTAAGAGCAACCGAGGTTGGGACAGCTTCTGTAAAATCCAACAATCGATGTGTTGCAATTGTCGCTGCCATTCATCATAGATCCACAACCAAGGCACAAGAACATTAAATTTGATATTGCAATTCAAAAATGTAATATATGGAATTCACCAAAGTTTTGAATGGACCCAAAAGCTTATAATACTTTTTTTTCTCTTTGAAATTGTTCACAGCTTCATTGATCGTGTATCAAGTTTTTACATGGATTGTATTACATCAACACCTTTTCTTATGCAAATGTAGTTGCTTAATGGAAAAAAAACACTGCATCAGTATCCACAAATCAGCTGAATGGGTGAGGCAAGTAAAGCATTCCATTGCACAAGAACCCAGATAAAACCAAAGGTGAAGAAAAAGATACAGGTACAAGTTCAAAGCAATAACAAAATTCTTTCCTCAAAGCGTCATTACTCCCCCCCCCCCCAAAAAAAAAAAAAAAAGCAGCAATGAACATACCAGTACATACGCTCACTTCCATCTAACTTAGTCCTTGTTATGTTAATTTCTTGCAGTTGATAACCTAACACCAGAAACAAGAACAAAAAATCAATAAAAAATTATATTTATATATGTCTGTATCCCCAAATAAGTTACCTCTCATTTTTGCTTCAGTGTCTAGCTCAGAGCTCTGCTCCTTATAAATATGCCTAAGAACGGGCAGAGCATTGTATAGCAAATAAAGTAGTCGTTCAATTTTGGCACTGTCATCCATTTCTGGATGCTGTCCAAGGAAGAAGCGAAGTTAGACAACATTAAGAGAGAGCATATAGATGATACATTTTCAACCTCACAATTTTGATTAAATCATATGGAAAGAAGCCACGATAAGAAAGGAAATCATCTACCCTTGGTACAGGAACCTCTCGCAGGCAAGCTTTGCAATTGCAATTGCCACAACAATATGGACATCTATTCTCAACTTCCTCTTTTGTTTTTCCTGGGTACCTATTTAATCTCATTGCAATGAGCACCTAGCTACATTAGAAGGCTTAAAGCTTTTAATGTACATTAATGCAAAAAACCAGTCAACTCCTTCATTACAGTTACATAATACTCATCAGTATGAACAAGAAATGTAAAAATTAAGATTAATACGAATAAATGCTACCACTTCTTGAGGCAATCAAAACAGTAGCGTTTTCTGCCACACATTAAGCAGATGACTACACCATTCTTGTCACTCCGCAGGCACTGATGACACATCAAACTTCCACCCTCCTTTGTTTTCCTGTGCAAATCCTGAGAAGCCAACATTACGGAGAAAGTCAAAATTAAATTCGTCACTATTGCAATTAATGACTCCCAGCATATGTATAACTCATCAATGTTTGCCATAAAATGATATTTATCATCCTACTTGAGCATGTAAAGCAATGATAAAATTTTACCAGGCAACAAGGAACGCTTATTCAAATAGGTCTTCATCCAACCAAATATCAACTGGACAACTCTCAATAGCACCTCTTCATCCCTCATGAAGATTTACAATTTGACACGGGAATTATTGTAACGGCAATTGGTTTCAGTTAGTCAATGAATTAGTTAGTAGTTAGTTAGAAAGATATCTAGTTAGGAGAATCAATAACTCAGTTGCATTCATTCCTAGGTTGGCATCACAACCAAGCATACTCCATGCTATGATGCATTCACATCTAACGGGAATATACCTTGAACATCTAGTTGACAAGGCAACACCATATTCTGAGACATAAGCATTAATTCCCAAATTGGCATCCAACCATTCAGATTTAACCAGATTTCATACTATACTACATTATTCCATGTTGCATTCACCTTTCAAGGAAAAGCACCTCACTTGTTTCATTGACAAAGCAACACCATATTTCCGAGACCCAAGCCTCCCTCGATCCTAGGTCTTCAACAGTACCTCCTAATCACTAGAGGAACTATGTTGCCCCTCATGCCCCTGAATAAAGAAAATTCCTCATAATCCTCCCAACTGAGAGACAGGATACAAGAAGTTCATACTTCCTATAGATTCTGAACTCTGTCTAAATTTGAACGGGGTCTTCTGATCTTGAATAGCTTTATTGATTCTACGTTGGGACGCGGGTCTGCAACTAACACGATTTTTAACAAGTATGTGTCTTCATAGATTGGACTCTTGCGAACCATTGGTATAGATGTAAACTAGGGATTAAACCCGATTTCAATCCTTGCCTTCGAACATCGTCCAGACAGCAAAGCAAGATATTTAGGTGATTTGGGAAGTATACCCGCCAAAGAAAAGATCTCAAATATAATGACCGTGTGGGCAGAAAAAAGCCAGATCATCTTATTCAAGAGCCTTGGGCCGTGTAGGGATTTATGCATGATCAGGATTTGAAAATGATAGACTGAACTTTATTGACAAGTTGATCACTTCAGTCTTATAAAGAGGCTTCAGTCCGGCCTGTGATCTCTTCGATGACCAGAGTCTCTCACCTTAGGGTGAATATACCTCTTCAAATTTGAACAAACCTCCGCTCTAAAAAGTTTTTCAATACAACTAAAGAGTTCGTGCTTTCAAGACGGAATAAGCAATGATCACATGCTTTGTTGGCGAAGCATGTGGTCGCATCTTACTACACCTAAAGGTCTAAAAGCACTCTTTCAAAAAGGAATTTTGCGTCAGAAAATCCCCTCTCCTATTTTGTAGGAGCATTATGCTGCTATAGAATATAACCCGTAAAAATGCGAACAAAATAGCTCATATTTTCAATCCCGTACCGGAACCGAAATTAGCAGCATTTCTTTAAGACCTACCGTAACCATGGAATGTTTCTCCAGCGAGGAATAATTCCGCCCCCGCTCTTCATCGGAATTTACCTTCAACGCTGCCTTCATGGTGTTATTTACTCTTCTACCATCACTCATTTTGTTATGCTTCGAACTAGCCGAGAGCTTCAACTCTCGAACTCGGACCGATTTTCGTTTCAACTCGGAATCTGACACTTCCACCTCCGATTCCCTGCAGACTACAGCATTCTTCCTTTTCCTGGAGCTGGAATCATGGTATATCTCCACCTCCTCTCCTCCTTTTTCCTTGGTTCTATGTTTCAGGTCGTAACTCTCCCTCTGCGCCAGGTGCTTCTTGCAGTACGACTTTCCCCGCGACGCCACCTCGGAGCACCGCCAAGAACCTGCGCATCGCTTGCACCGCCGAACGGCCGACGACTCCATGGGGACGTGAGAAAACAGCGATTGACGAAAGACATAAATCGTCGGACCTAATGCATGAAACTGTCATGGGCAGTGTTACTATATTAGCGCCAAAAGAAACAAGTGCGACGGACAAATAGCGCCAAAAGGTGGGATTCTCGGGCTAAAAGAGAGCGCTATTTATTATGCTTTTACATTTATGTTAGTTTATATTCAATATAGAAAATAAGTTTTTAACTTATTATAAAATTTTATTGTGCATAAATGTGTTTTTTTCAAAATAATTTAAAAATTAAGTCATACAATAAAATTTGCCATAAGTTCTATTGTATATCTTGAATGGATTGCATATAATTTTCCTTTAATTTTGGTATTAATATGAAATTCTGAAAAGTAGAAGTTAATAAAAAAATTATTTAAATATGTGAGCTTTGAAATTTTATAAAAATTAATCACTAATCAGATTTTAAGTAAAACGATACATAGCATGATAGCGTCGTGAGCTTCTTATCAAATTATGAAACCAGTACAAAACATTAAACCCCATTACATTTTTCAAGTTCTGTAATGGCACTTAATTTTATATGTATTGTTTTTTTTAAATACTACTGTTTTATTTTATTTTGAATAAAATTGTTCTTGCCTTTAAATAAAAATAAATAAAAAAGAAGGAGGAGGGGGAATTTTTCTCCTTTTGATTTTTTTTTTTTGGTTGCCTAACCAGTTCACCGGAGTTTTGTGAGTCTCACAACAGGGATTTCTGCATACATTGAGACTCAAACTCGAGATCTCACTTAAGCAGTATCAAGCCACTTACCACTTGACCAACTCCTATTAGTTGTCCTTTTTTTTTTTGGTCAAATTAGTTGTCCTTTTGATTTGTGAATAGTATGCAGCTTCTTACTCAAAAAAAAAAGAAGAAGAAATGCATTGATGATTTAAGGCCATCAAATCTAATTGAAGCCCAGCCCAAATCCATGACAACAATTATTTTACTGCCTAAACACATGGGCTCGACCCATTTTTAATTTTAGTCTAAATGACACGGGCAATAAATTCTTTCATTCTGTAAGCATTTTCCTTTCGCGTGCTAAAAAATTACATTTGTATATTCTCCTTTCTAAGAAAATTTAATCTATATAGGTTTTATGATGTCTTGTTATGACGTGGTCGTGGCATCTCTAATTTAACAGCAACCAGATCATAAAACAATTACTGTAGCTGCATTTTCTTTCTTACAATCTAGTTATTATTTTACTTTAGTTTGAGAAGTATTATTGTTAAAACTCATAAATTTCTAATTCAAATTATAGAATCATAAGTAATATAACCATAAAAATACTCTCTTATCAAATTATTTAGTTTAAAAATATCAACACATATAATATAAATCAAATCATTATTAAAGTCCAAATTAACTCATTTTTTAAAATTTAATTGGACAAATTATTGTCTAAAACCAAATAAATCAAATCATTTTGTAAAATTTAATTTTAAATGATAATAATAATTAAATATTCAAAATATCATTAACAATATTAAAAAATTAATAATATTAAAATTACACCAAAAATTTTTTAAAAAAACAAACAAAAATAAATGACCTAAACAGGCCTGCCCGTTTAGACCCTCGATCCTATAGGGTTAGCCCTTTAAACCCGTTTCCCATTTAAGCTCAGTCATCACAATTTTTGGGCCTAAATGAGCTTGACCCATTTTCCCAACTCTAATCTCAACGGCAGTGATACTTGTTATGTTTGGATCAGATTTCAGACTTAAGTTTGACAAATATCTTTGTGCGCATGTGAATTTAAAATGTGTATAAAAAAAATGCAAGATTCATTAATTTACACACTTCAAGCCATAATGCTCACTTTCAAACCACATACAATGTATAGGAGGGCCTAAGTACTTTTAATGCAAACTCACCTAAAAGTAGCTCTCACACAAACAGACATATATATATATATATATAAATTAATACATAATATGATTGAGATGCATGTATGAGTAATATTTTCTAAGCGCATGGACTTTGAAAAGCGCGTGATATTTCTGAAAACATATGACAGATTATAAGAGTGGAAAAACATGCGGTGTTGTGGAAGTAGTGAAACATGTTGTTCGTATATATCAGATTTGTTTTTAAAATCAGAGGGGTTAGGTGAAATATCCAATCACGGACTATTTGGTGGGAGAGGGAGGAGAGCATATGCTTAGAGCATCATTTTGTGATTTAGAAAAGAGAAAATGAGAAACACATGCTTTGAAATCAACACATTGTTGGTTTCAAAACCAACACCTATCGGATTCAAAACCATAGGTGTCGTCTTCAAGAATTGGCCCTCTTTTTATCCCACCATTTCAATCCCTTCTATTGCTCATCATCAATTCACTCATATCTCTTTCTTCTTCATCACTTCATACTTGTTGGGAAATTCCTTCCTTTTGCTTATGATGTTTGTTCATATCTAATATTTTTGTATCATGTTTCTTAATTAGCCAGTTTCATATGACATTTCTTTATTTTCCAAGGGTTTATCTTCAAGGAATTCTCTTAGTACACTTGTATTTGGAACATTTTACTCCTCCGGTCCTTATTATAAGACCCAGTTTGAATTTTTATTTGGTCCTAATTATAAGACCCAATCCATTTTGTCTCTTATATTTATGCATTTTTTCCAAGATAATCCTTCTAATAATGATAGTTTTAGCCAATATACTTAATTAGCAATGATATTTTAGGAATGACAACACTTATTTATTATAAATAACCAACTTAACTTACTTCCTTAATCTCCTCAAATAAGTCAATTGGGTCTTATAATTAGGACCGGAGGAGTATCTTATATTTTATAATATAATTGCTTCTATTCGATAATTCCTTGCTGACCCTGACCCGGCTCACAATACAGGAAAAACAGGTCTGGGAATATCATGAAATTAAAGGACAGGGAAGAAATCTTCAAGGACCAAAATATTATGAAATATCCCACAAAATTGAAATTAATTAAATTATATTGACCGGTCATTAAGGTCTGCTCCTCTTGTCGTTAACGTAGAATTTAATTAAAAAGTTAATGTTGATCCTGTATATAAGATTTATTTCACATATTTATCAATTTATTGCAAATTAACTCTTTTGATATTCCCTCAACAATAATCAGGTAGGAGAGGAAGGAAACAAAATTAAAAATTACTATGCTTAGAGTGTTTAAGAAAAAACATATCATATTAACTAATTTAACATCTTTAATTGACTCAAATTAATTAATCATGTCTTATATTAAGGACCAGAAGAGTATTAGTAAACTCCTTTTTTTTGTTATCCATATTTTAAAAAAGATTAGGCTTTTTAAACTGATCGATAGTATTAGTAAACTTCTATATTTTTTTTTGTTATCCATATCTTAAAAAAGATTAGGCTTTTTTAACTGAAACCTTTTTTTAAGTGTGAATGTGTGATGTTGCAAGTTTAAATTCTCAATAGGAGGTAGAGGATAAGATGGATAATTGTGAATGATTAGGAGAAGAATCTATGTTTCATTCTGCATATTGGAATGTTCGTCCTTTTACTATCAGGAGCATGGTAAAATATTTTTGGAGCAATTGAGGCTTGAAAGATAAAGCTGACATCAATTTATTGCTCATAAAAGAGCAATTAACGTCGGTCTGTGTTGTGAAAAAGAGAGGAGGGAAAAGAATTGAGTGGAGATAGACGACGAGACAAAATGGTGGGGACAAGGGTGTCGTTTTTAGCATTAACGACAAAAAAGACCCCACACCCCTTACTGAGGCAGTGATCCTTCACAGCCTCCAAAGGGCAAAAGACACAAGAAGGAAAGCCCTTCAAATAAGAGAGCCTGTGAATTGTGAAAGAAATAAGCACCAAATGAAACCCCACCAAAAACACTTGATTATTATTAGGGAAAATTACACTCAAGTCCCACAGAGTATAATTAATATCAAAAAGGTCCCACGAAATCGCGAAATGATTCTGAAGTCCCCAGGGACCTGTGTGTAATTAATTCTAATTGTGAAATTACCTACTTACCCCTGTTAATTTTATTGCAACAATTCGTTTACAATCTCAACAGTGGCTGTTAACAACCCGAGAAGACGTGATTGACAACCTCGGCAGTGCTTATGACAACTCACTCTGTGGAATGCCAGGGGCGTTGTTGAGGTTGTTAATCACTTCTTCTCGGGTTGTTAACAGCCACTGTTGATGTTGTAAATAGGTTCTAATTTTATTTACAATCTCAACAATGCTGTTAACAACCCGAGAAGACGTGATTGACAACCCCGACAGTGCTCATGACAACTCACTGTGTGGAATACCAAGGGCGTTGTTGAGGTTGTTAACCACCTCTTCTCGGGTTGTTAACAGCCACTGTTGAGGTTGTAAATAGGTTCAAATTAACAAGGGTAACTACGTAATTTCACAATTAGAATTAATTACACACAGGTCTCTGGGGACTTCAGAATCATTTCGCGATTTCGAGGGACCTTTTTGATATTAATTGTGTTCTATGGGACTTGAGTGTAATTTTCCCTTATTATTATTATTATTACTCATCTTATGATTGATTACTATTGAGCAGACATCACACAAAGTTTTTTTTTTTGAAAGGGTATATAAAAAAAGTGGGATGAAGATATTATGGCCAAGAAAAAAAAAGCCCACACAAGTGTGTTTGACCTTTTTCTCCCATGTTCAGTGTACTATGGCTTGTGTTCCCTCTTTAATCCGTGGCCCCTAAAAATTTTGGTTCTTATGCCTTGTGTGTATTTTGGTTAGCTGCCTCACATTCAACATGATTCCCACGTTCCCCTCATTCTCCTCAACTTTTTGTGAGTTATTTCGATTCTTAATATATGGACTAGCTAAGAAGTTAAATCATTTAATTTTAAATATAAGACATCAATCTACCCGGCATATTACATTTATCATTTTTTTTTCTCAAATTAAATTATCTACTCACTTATTAGTTGATGTGTAATGTAATCTTATCCAGACGTGGTGGACCTTTTAGCTTGTACAAATTCAACAGTGATACGATTCAACTTGACATCAGCGATCTACTGAACTTGTACGTGCTCTACTATATTGTGAGCAATATTACTTTTTATTTTAGGCTGGCTAACTCTGTATTTTTCTCTCTTCTCCAGTTCTTAATTACCTTGTAAACTCATCATCATGTCTTTTACCGAATTCAGAGAAATTAAATCATATGTCGCATTTGTTGTAATTAATTGACTTATTTGACTTTTTTAATCTCTCTAAATTAATCAACAACTCTGATGGGAAGGACCGGATAGAGTTTTTTTTTTAAATATATAAATTGAATTGGCATATGTGTGTGTGTGTGTGTGTGATGGGACCAAGTGTTTCGGTTTTTTGAGTAATTACAGTTCATTGTAGATAAGTTTGTGCAGATAATTGTGCAACGTGTTTGCTTGACTTGATCGTTAAGAGGTGGGACGTGGCCAACTTTTGGATCTAATAATGCTTAAATCTGGATTAGTGGAGGTATTTATGCTACATAACTACTCCCTCTGTCCCTTATTATAAGATCGTTTTAATTAAATTATGTGATTTAAGAAACTGTTAAAATTAGTTAAAAACAATTAATACATAGCAAATACAATTTTTTTCCAAATATACCCCTCTATATAAATAAGTAAATGTGAGAAAGTAACAGTGAGATAAATAAAGAAAGAGCACGTGTTAAATGCATTAAATTAGGGGTAAAATAAGTAATAATATATTAAATACTCAGACAAACTTAAAGAGAATCTTATAAAAAGGGACAAACCCATTCAAAAAAAATAGATCTTATAATAAGGGACGAAGGAAGTCCAATTAAGCAAGACAGCCGTGGAATAAGAAAGATTACGAAATGTGTACCACTTGGACAGTATTTATACACATGAGCACTAACCGGGAATGTATTTATATTCGGGAGTTTAAAAAATAATTAAAAATACATCAATTATGATAAATTGTTAGAACTGAACACTTTTTATCAAATCTAAAAAGCTCGATTACTATGAATATCGTCCAGTATTAATTCCATAGGCGTGCAGTGTTATTCAGCCAAAAAAAAAACATTATTCTTGTATTATAAATTCAACACCAAATGTTGTCAAACATGTTCGCTTCATATATATCTCGTGGCCTGTAAGCCACGATTCTTTGAGACTTTTTTTTTTAAATAAAATAAAATAAAATCCAAGTCAACCATGAATAGGAAAATGGTTTAATTTCTGCCACATTCATTTTTATTTTCAACAATTTCTGCTACATGCACACACCTACTTATATATATAATTGGGTGTTTCTTATATCTTTATCAATTATATATTGCTTTTGCTGGATGGCGAGAAGACGAGAATTTAGTTATGACGAGTGTTGAAATAATTGATTATGATACCAATTTTGCCCAAGTCTTTGGAAGGAGAAGAGAGGGGGGAAAAAAGGCACACGCATATATACAACAGCCGTGTAACATTATTATATTGTCTGAATGTACAGTTCTGCCCTTAATTTAGCATTCTGCGGTTTATTATTTTTATTTAAAAAGTGTATATATTAAATAGGAATAAAATTGAAGAGTTGTTAGATTTTAAAACAAAACCAACAACATTTAAGTTTTTTCTTACTTTGATGACAAAACATGTTAAAAGCGTTTTATAAATATGATTAAAAAGGTACTAAGGTTTGAGAATGGAATATATCTCGAAAAGAAAACATGGCGAGAAAAAAAAAACAATAATAGAAGAGAGAAAGAAGATTGGGATGTGAAGTTGAAGGAAATAATAAGGGTGAGAAAATGCGGAAAAGAAAGAAGCAGAGACCTGAAAATGGAAGGAGAGGAAGAGAAAAAGACGGGAGCGTGTGGGTGTTGGGATTCCCAGGGCAAATAACAAAGGGCATGCAAGATGGGCTTTTGTCATCAAATGTTTATTCTTATTATATATATTATTTTTTATTTTAATTATAAGATTCGTTTATAATCTATAAATATTAAATAATAATAATAATAATAATAAGAAAAAGAAAATAAGGAGATATAAATGGGAACACATGCACCACATGATTGTTTGGGATGACAAGATTGATTGGATGAAAGGTGCCAGCACGTGAACGTTTTTGCATTTCATTATGCCTATGACCGCGACCTCACGCCTTCCCACCCCCCTCTTGGACCACCCCTTTCACTATTCGTTGCAAAAATGAAAAGTCTCACTCGTTTCTTGAATCAATTCTTGATTTCCTTTTATATAATCATATTTTTCATGATAATTCTACTTTTACGCGTGATTGCGATCCAACTAAATAGAGTCAACTACATGAATCGCACGAGATCATTAAAAATTTGACTTCTAGGCATACGATGATTACCACGAATCTTATCCCACTAAATATGACGGGCTATATGAATTATATGATGATGTCGTTACACTCTATTAATAATTAAAATTTTAAATTGATTGTTAACCAAAATATCTTATTCAATGGTTTCACTGAGTATTATCTTAGATGGTTATCTACTTCTTTTCCAAGGACATGTATTGTTTAATCTGCCATTCTCACTGGTACATTCAATAAGCTTTTCTGAATATATCTTAAATGTCTTAAATGATTTTTTATCATTTTCTCTTCAATAGATGCCATGCCAATTCTCCTATGAATTTGCTCGTTACCAATTTTTTTTTTTTTTTACATGATCACACGTTCATTTTAATATTCTCATCCAAGCTATCTTTACTTTATGCTCATGTCATCCCTTTATATACAAAACTGATGTTTCCACGGATTATGGTTTGTATACTTAAATTATGATAAAATGTGATTATTATAATATGACTTGTGTTTTGATACAAAAGCCTCAAGCCACGAGTGGTTTAAAAACTAATCCAAACAACAGCAACAAAAAATATATTAAAACCAACTGCTTAATTAAGCCTCTAACCTAACAGGTTTGGAGCATTAAAACCATAAATTATTGCTTGTTAATGTGTAACACAGGAAGGATAGGCCAACTTTTTGGCTTTATCTGGTGCTCTGATGGCATAAGCTTCTTTACTGAAGAAGAAGGAGATGCCTCAGACATCAAATTAAAGCAACGGCCTACAATTTGAGATGAGTTTTAGTATTTATGCTTTTCCCCTTCCTTAATCCCCATTCTCTTTTCACGCGCATCATCAAAGTAAAGGTCTCTCTCCCGATTGCTTAAGATGTTGGGAACAATCCTAAACCAATCAAAAAAATACTACTATATGTTAGAAGTATATTATATCTTTTTATTTTATACTCCTCCGGTCCTTAATATAAGATCCAATTGTTGAGTTGATTTTAGTCCTAAATATAAGACCCATTTATCATATTTATCAATTTTCTCTAAATTACCCCTATGGATACTCCCTCAACCATAATCAAGTAGAAAAAAGAAAGATGGTATTAAGAAAGTTGATTATGGTGTTTTAGAAAAAATGTGTCACATTTCTTATAATTAACTAATTTATCTAATTTTCTTAATCTAATCAAATTAGTTAAATGGGTCTTATATTAAGGACCAGAGGAGTATTAGGATAACATGTAGAAATTCTAGACATTACGATATGCTGATTTACATAAAATGCTAGGTTCAGGTTTAGGATTTTTACTTGGTTCGATTAGTTATTACCATCTTTTTTTTTTTTTACCAGAGAATCTTTCTTAATTGGCACCTTATCTTAAATGGAAAAAAAAAAACTAAAAACGTTTGTTGTTTATGAGTTTTTTTTTTTTTTGCCTGAATTTGTTGTTTGTGAGTGGGCGGGCCATAAAAAATCTCGCTAAAAATATATTTCTCTCGATAGAAAATATAAAATACAATCTGAGACACATTTTCCTAGATTATGGATGGCTCATGTCCCGCACTAATCATGGCTACAAATAATTCTTCATGCACATATTTTGTCATCAGTAGTCAATTGTTGATTTGAACGGTGAGCTAAATAAATGACAGAGAAGGAAAGAGAGGTTAAAAAGGCTGCCCACAGGACTGACACTTCCATTGCAGGAAACCTCACTTTTGAGCAGATGATAGCCTTTCCTAGAATTTGAAGACACCAAGGTTGTACTTATAAAAGCTCACAAAAGCAAAGCCTGGCTCATCTCAAAATTACCATATCTCTCGTTTCTAATTAAAAAAATCCACTTTTATTCCCCTCAACGGGTTAGAGCAGGTTACCATAAGCTACGCTAAGAACAATGGCATCCTTATGAGTTATATATACCCACGATGACCATTAAAGTGGGTAGATATGCGCGTAATGTGGAGTCTGTCCTCTATGAAAGGAGCGAGTTTAAATTGTTAAAGTATATATATTAAAAAAAAAAAGACATATCTGAATTTACACGCAAATAGATAAAATAATTTTCCTTGGTTTTTTCAATCACTAGGGTTAGTGCACGTGCTGGTTTTCATATGTGATCGCAGAGACAGGCTCAGGGAAGCAAGAGAGCAATCTGGTACAAGACAAAACATGACATGGCACCTCCATCCATGAAACTGCGTATACCATTAATAAATAAAAACACGATTTTTACAATTAATTTCTTGTCCCCTCCTTCAAGGAAACCAAACCAGCGGTGAACCGGTAAAAGGGCAACATATAAATATAAATAAATAAATAAATATATATATATATATATATATATATATATCAAGGATGACCAGAATAAAGATCTCTGTGAAGTGATTCAAGTGTACTTCAGATCTAGCTAATTCTATCTAAGGTGACACAAGCAGTTGAAGAATTTACCAATACTTTTATGCACAGATCTTGGATGAATACAAGAACTTAAGCATCTAGAACTGAAAAGGGAAAACGAAGCTTTTAACCATGTAGAGCTGAACTGGGAAAGAAGGAAGAAAATAGAAAGAACTTGCAGGAATACTGCTTACAATATTTAATAACCCTGTGTATGAAAACTATAGACAGACTTAAATTTGCTGCTCTGCTTGGTTAAAATTTTGAGAGGGATCATTCTAATTAATTAACTGCTACTTACTTCCCCCCCGCTGTAACAAAATTTCTGAGGAAGCTTTCCAGGAGACTGCTTCTTCTTGTTCTTGTTCTTGTTCTTCTTCTCTATGTATCATCATGCCTATACGGGGACCTACGTTAATGGCGATTTTTTCTTACTTTTTGGGCTCTCCCTTAACCGGTCAATGATAATGGCTGCGGCGATGAAGAATTGGATTGGCGGGAAAATGCAGCAACCAGCTTCTCCTTTGTCAGCTGCTGATCAGGTCCTTGAGGTTTGATCACGAAGGTATGAAACACAGCTTCATTTGCAGCGGCCAGTTTTGAATCAACGACGTTCACTTGTGCTTCTTTCAAAGCTTTGATCACTGACGAAACTGGGTGGGAATTCACTGGGGAGATTGCTCTCACAACCACCTCGTCCTGACAAGCTTGGATTTCCACCTGAGGAGGAGGAGATTGCTGATTGTTGGACTCCATTGATGGATCCCTTGAACTTGAACAGCTTCCCATTCTGATCTCTTTCTCAGATTCCATTGCTTTGAGTTTTGCCTGAAGCTCGTTGATGTAAGCAATGGCGTCTCCGAGCAAAGAGGCTTTGTCCATTTTGGAGATATTAGGCACCACAGCTCTTAAAGCATAGAACCGTTGGTTCAGCTTCTCACGCCTTTGCCTCTCAGCTTCCACATGGTTCAGAGGTTCTTCCCTGCCGTTTGCCGGCTTTCTTCCTCGCTTCCTCGGCCGCCTTTCGTCGGTGGTGGCTCCGCCTGGCAGGTCCTCCCTGAATGAAGCATCGGCATCAGATTGCTCTGATTCACCGCCGTTTGGTCTCACGGCAGTCACGGCAGACCTGGAAGTGGCTCCTGAGAAATCAATCTGCATTATTGGTGCTTTCCTTTGCGGCTGATTAACAAGGTCCAGAACGGGCGCATTGCTCGTCGACGATCTAGAAGGAAAAGTTTCAACAGGACTGGTTTGCCTTACGCCATTGTTAGATGTCGTTGTCCAGGTTGAAGGATGAACACCATTACGAGGATGAAGATGAACCCCATTGGAGTGATGATGACCTGATGCTCCTAACCATGGCCTATCCTCCATTTTCCTAATAGCAAGTTTCTCTCTAAATTGGGTGCTTCGAACTGGGTTCGTCTTGTTCAAATCCTGCCCGAAAATCTTCGGTACTACTTCGGCTTTGTCAGAAACTGTTAAGACCGGGAAGATGGTGAGTTCATCTCTTTTCTCCGCCGTCACGGGAGCCGGAGGAGGAGGAAGAAGAGGTGGTGCAATGGACGACTTGGCGGATTCAACGGAAAACTCCGATTTGATTGCCTGCAACAATTCTAAGTTCTCTTTCACCAACTTGGCAGAACCCAGTTCCACCACTCCCATATCAGTGGGGATCAAAACGACGGTCTGGATTCCGGCTGATTTAACCAGGAATGATCTGACGCAATAATCAACTGCAGATTTCTGTGCATCTGTGAGCCATAAATGTTTACCGGACGCGAGACACTTACCTGGACCTCCATGGCCACGAGGGAAAGAGAAGTACATAGAAGCGAGAAAGAACAACTCAGTATCAGTCACACGGTCTAATCCATATACGTAACTGTCTTCTTCGGAACCACCGAAGGTTGTGTGAAGCTTCTGTAACACTCTCTTCCTCATCCTTTGCTGAACTTCATCCTCCATGCGAAGGCTCAGAATTCCTTTCAATCCGTCTTCTTCTCCTTCATCCGGTTCTCTGCAACACCCATCGCCCCAACCTAAGACCCATTCGCCGGATTTCGACTGAGAAATTTGCCAGAAAATGGCGTAGTTCCAGGTGAAATTCGATACGTTCGGACGCTCCACGAGATCCGACAGCTTCTTCTGGAGATTCTCGTCGGTGACGACGGCCATTAACAGATTATCATTCGAAACCGAGTGGTTCACCAGGTAATCGAAAGCTCGAGCGCCCAGAACCGCCGCGACCATGTCTCGTTCGTCTTCGCTCCACAACATACCTCCTAATCCCACCTCAATCTTCATCTGTTCCATCAGAAATAAAATCACCCCCTAGAAAACAAAATCTCCAGATACTCAACCCCTTGATTGATTCTCACCTCTCAGAGTAAGAACCCAGCCAGCCAGAGAAAATCTTCCCGGTTTCCATGTCAGTTCAAATCGAACAACCCACATGAAGCTTATGACGACGCCTCAATTAGATCTCCAACATTTGAACTCTGCGTTCAGAACTGGGATTCACACCGACAAGTTCAGAACAAGGAAGCAAGGCGAGGCAATGACAGGAAAAGAGACAGCAGTGAGAGCAACAGTCTCAAGGGAACCAAAAACTTAAAAAAGAGACATTTCGCGAAGGAGGAAAAACAGCAGGTGTTTCAGGAATCAAAAATGAAAAGGAAAACGATTTTTCTTTTTATATATTATTAATTTCGCTCCTTCCTTTGGATGTCCAAAGAGAAAAAGGAAGAAGGAAGAGAAGACTGTGAGGGAAATGAAATGAAACGAAACGCAATGAGTGAGAACAGAACGCGAAGAGAACCTGCGGCTAGTGCGCTCCCTAATCTGACTTGTAACTGCAAGACACTAAACCATGGTCAGGTCAAACGAGGTTAAGAATTAACCATAGTTACTAGGTTGGATGTTGAGAGGGCAAGTCGGCAACGAGTACGTTGATTTCAGTTTTTTTTTTTTTTGGGTGGTTTCCTGGTTTCCTCTTTATCATCTAAACTCAACGTTTCCAGATCTTTTAGAAGAAACCGGACAAAATTAATTAATCCGTGTCAAAGACTCCTATAATCTTATGTACCAGAATTTAAAAATAAATAATGGGACCAAATTTACTTGTGTCTGTTTTTCTTTGACTGGAGATTTTTGGGTTTGAGTTGTTGAATTTTTTTACTATTTCTTTTTTTTTTTTTTGGTTAATGAAACAATTACTTTACTAGCACTTCAATGTGCGTGAGATTTGGCAAGACAATAAATGGGTGACATATTATTATTATATAGGTTCATGATCCTCGTGTGTAATAGTTGCACGCAATAACTTGTACACCAAGTACTGCATGTGACTTGCAGGTAGGTGAAATAAATTATCTTACCAACAAAATATATATTTTAATATAAGATTTTGTTTAATTTTTATTTTGATTCTAAATATAAAATCTCAATTCATTTTATCTATCATATTTATGTATTTTTTTCAAGATAGTCTTTTTAACAACAATAATAGTTCTAACTAATACACTCGATTAGTATGGATATTTTAGAAAAAAACAATATATATTTATTACAAATAACTAACTTAACTTTTTTTTAATCTCCTCAAATCAATCAACTAATTCTTATAAATAATAGGACTAGGATAGTATTTTTGTAATAAGAACATGAACATTCTTTGTTATTTTCATCTCCTTTCTCTTACCATTTTCATGCATCCCTCTATGGTGAATTCCCATTGTAACTAACTTTATTCCAACACGAGTAAGTAATTAATTATATACTACTCCTCCGGTCCTTAATATAGGACTCAATTCTTGAGTTGGTTTTGATCCTAAATATAAGACCAATTTCTCATATTTATCAATTTTCTCTAAATTACCCTTATAGATACTCTCTCAACCATAATCAAGTAAAAAAGGGAGAGGGGGTATTAAAAAAGATAATTATAGTGTTTTAGGAAAAATGTGCCACTTTTCTTATTATTAACTAATTTACCTAACTTTCTTAATCTAATCAAATTAGTTAAATAGGTCTTATATTAAGAACCGGAGGAGTAAATAACTACTGCATAGGTTATAAAGATAATAATTTATTTTATTTTGTCTTCAATATTTATTTATTTTGCTTTTAAGTAATTCTTGAGGTAATTATACATATTTAATGAGTTGCAATCAATGAGCAGCTCCAATGCCCATAATTAATAAAAATATTTTATGAAAAACATCATATATTTATTGCTTTCTCCGTTCTTTTTTATAAGCAATAACTACCGTCTCCTTCTTGTCCCTAAATATAGACAACATTTGCAAGTTGTCTTAAATTTTTATAGTAAATTTCCTATTTTGCCCCCACTTATTACTTATTTTAATACTCATTATATTTATTATCTCATTTCACAAACTATCATCTCTCCATCACACATTCTCTCTTCCATGATTCTCTTTATTATAATAATTTTCTTATTCTTTTTTTTATACCCTCTCCCCCCCAACAAATAAAGGCATTTTAGAGAGGAAAAAAACTTCTAATTTCTATACATTTATTATCTTTAACCAATTTTAATTAATATTTTGATTTACGTGATGAAATCTGGTATTACTTATAAAAAGGAATGAATGGAGTACAAATAACTACTTTAACTAATTTTTTTAATAGTCATAAGTTAATTGTCTAGCAATTATATTAGTTATGAGAAATAATATATAGTAATGAACGGATTTGCTCAAAAATAAAACTTTCGAAAAATATCATGTTTTTAGCAGCAAAACGCGAAGAAATGGGAAAAATCACACCAGGGAGTGATATGGATTTTTCACCTGTCTGGCTGTCTCCCTCCTTTGTGGATAAACCTATAAATTGGATGTCAGGCCAGTTAAGGGAAAGTAATTTACTTCCGTTCAACTCTCCCCAACTCTGAGACCATGTGAATCATTAATTGAGCAATATTAAAAATCAGCACTGCTTTTAGATTTCACTGAGAAAAATACTCGCCCTTTTAGTGAAAAATGGGTGGCACCGACGAAAAATTGAAAATTAAAAACACATTTGCAGAATATATAAATATATACATTAATCGTTAATTGGGGAAAAAAATACTTTCCCTTTCGTCTTGTGAACTATCTAACTCATGCTTAAATTAGGGTTAATTAATCTACCAGTCCTTATAGTTTCAACGAATTTTGAATCAGGTCCCTATAGTTTTTTTTCTTTTTATTAGGTCCTTATACTTTTACCTTTTTTTAATTAGGTCCTTGTATTTATTTATTTTTAATTAAGTCCTTATAATTTCACTAAATTTTTAATCAGGTCCATGTAGTTTTAATTTTTATTTATTAATTAAATATAAGTTTAATTAAATAGATTAATGCTGAATATAAAATAGTAATAATTAAATTAAATTAATAATTATGTAATAAAAAAGTAATAGAATTAATTAATTCAAGAAAATTTTTTAGAACAATTAATTTTTTTCTGAAAAAATTAAAATCATTATAATAATTCAATATATTTAGAATATTATTTTTTATAAACTAATATTAAATAATATATACTATTTTATGTTTATATAATAGTATTATTAGAATTTATAAAATAAAGAATAAAAAATTCAGGGACTTAATTAAAAATAAGGTGAACTTATAAAGACTTGATAAGAAGAAAAATAAATACAAGAATCTAATTAAAAACAGGTGAAAGTATAAGGACCTGATAAAAAGAAAAAAGACTATAAGGACCTGATTCAAAATTAGTTAAAATTATAAGGAGCTGTGAATTAATTATCCCCTTAAATTATGCATGCGTTCCTAAAATTAATTTGTGTATAAATAACCTTTTTCTAATTTTTAATCATTTAAAAGAATTTACAATTTTTTTAAGACTTCAAATTATTATATATATATTCAGGTAACATTCTTGTAAGTTGTTAATTTATCTATTATCTTACAAAATAATTTAACATAATAAGAGACTTATTTACCTGTAACTTGAAGTGTAGATACTTATCTACACATGACAAAAGATTCGAGAGGATGATTTGGGGAAAAAAAAAGTTTAAGAAAGTATTAATTAGATAACATACAAAACTTCGTTAAGAAAATGATGGAATAATTGATGGCAGAAGATTATAGGCATGAATTTAAAAGTCCACGAGGGTTATGTTTTTTTTTTTTAAATCAATTTCGGTGGTCCAGGAAAATATTTGAAAGCTCTGTATCATTCAACCTAAACTTATTGAGTCAATAATAGTTTTTGTTTTTGCCAACTATTGAATCAAGTAATGATAAAATAAATTGCACAAACTTTAATTTTAACTGCCAAGTATATTGGGGAAAATAAAGTTAACAAAATAGTCGACATTATTCGTAAAACTCAAAATGTAAGCTGTATACTTTTATTTCTCTTAATGAATAATTCTCTGAACATTATTGCTATTAATTAAGCAATAAAAATTTTAACTCGTTGTACGATGAATTGATCACTGATCATTAACGACCAGAATGAACCCATTTAAAAATGTCAAACGATTAATATTATCCTTAATTTTACTTATCATAACGAAAGGTTAATTTATTAACTACTGTTAATAGTAACCAACCAGTACTAGTAGTACTAAAATACAATCGTATAGCCACGCGCAAGAGACAATTATTATCGTGGGAACCCCAAATATTAATATTCAAGAAAATTTGGAGCAATATATATAAACAATATCGTTTAATTTTGTCAAAATAATGTCTTCATTGGGAGCCTTGTTTCATTATACTACCTCCGCTTCTAAATATAAAAACTAATTAGCTAATTTCAGTATATTAAGAAAATAAATGAATTTAGTTATTTGTAATAAATATGTGTTGTTTTTTCTAAAATATCTTTGATAATTAAATTTATTAGTTATAACTACTATTATTAGAAGGACTATCTTAAAAAAAATAAATATGAGAGATAAGGTAAATTATAATCTTATATTTAATATCAAAATAAAAATCAAAAGGGGTTTTATATTAAGCATTCCTGAACTACCATGCAGTTTTTTTTTTTTTTTCAGTTAGTTTTCTTTATTGTTATTATTAGTTGTGGCTCAAGTTGAAGGTGCAAGGACGATAATATGGAAAGTAAAAGGGGTGACATGACAGGGTGGGGTTAATTGGCTAGCAACTTGTTTGATTAATGTTAACATGATCACACCTTTGTTAGCAAAAAGAAAACACAATCACAGTTCCTTAATCATTAATTAATGAAATCATGATTATGTTGAAAGGTGGAGAGAAAGTATTCCTGGGAAACCAAGCAGGCCGGTTTGGTTTGTTTGAGGTTTAACTTACAAAGCGTTGTGATTACTTATTAGTTAATTAGAGATTTAATGGATAAAGCAGAGATCCTTGTACTAATAAAAGTGGCCCTAGTTGTAGTTGGAGTGCATCATAAGACAGATAGAAATATAATTGAAGGAGACTTGTTTCATTTTGTAGTTTAAAGCTTTTTTGCTCAAGAGAATAATCATGAGTTAGGATTAGCTTTTAAACTTGCATTTTTAGAAATTTGTAGGCTGTCTTTTGATGAAACATGTGTGTGTGTGTGTTTTTTTTAAATACTTAAATACGATAACAACGTTGAATATCCTAGAAATGAAGGGTACGTGTGCTATGAGGGAAAATGAGGAGAGAAAATTTTTTAAAGAGCTTGTTTTAAAAAATTGAAGAAGTGGAGCTGAAATTTTTTGATTAATTTTAATTACTCTTTTGTTTGACATTTTCTTTTTATCAAAATTTTATAATCACACC